AATTTATTATCAAAAATCTTTTCCCTGTAAAAATAACCATTTTTGGCAAATTGAGACATATTTTACTTACCATATGCTACAGACTGTCTTCAAACCTAGATATAATTGTAATTATTTCATCTGTGTTCTCCCATAACTTTTCTTTAAATGTCAATAACATGTACTGAGTTAGTTTGAGGTAAGTGGTTCTAGTTAAGAGGCACACACAAACTTAACTGAGTGTACCTTACCTTTGTACCTTAACTACTCACTGTGATTTTATTAAAGTAAAATAGAGGCCAGATTTAAGCATTTTCCCAGTGGTAAATTCATAACTTAATCTTGAAATTCCACCCCCACCCCACCATAAAAAAATGTCCCAGAAACCAGTTTAATTTTTTTCCATATTATTTTTTTATGATAAAAACCACTGAAACATGTGAATAATCATCTACAAAAAAAGAATATAGTAATTGGCTTTGGAAAATTGTCCTCAATTTTCTTATAGCAACTGCCCTTAATTTCCAAATTGGTTGTTGCAAATAAAAGTAAAAACATCCCAACTCACCAACATGTGACAAAGATGAAAAGTATACTTCTAGATTTGAAGACAGACTGTTAACAGGCGAGGGTGTGATTCAACACTGTTATAAACTGTTGACTGAGTTACAACAATCTTGAGTCAAACTCTCAATTTACTTATAAGCCTCAGAACAATTGAGGTACTGATCATTTCTCACCTTACTGGTGATGTACAAAAACAACAAACAACATAGTTGTTTCCCTTATCAACAACACAGTTGTCTTCTCTTGTTATCAACATTATTGGTAATGAATGCTTTGTGTTAACATGTGTACTTAGTAAATCATGACATGAATGTGAATATGCAATGGTTTTTACTCCAATGGTATCTACATTTTGTATATTAACAAACACTATGAACTGAACAATAAATGAAACTCAAATCAACAATTTATATCTATTTCATATGTATAAAAATATAAATCTATAAAAAACACTGTTAAAGATGACTGGAAAATTGCATTACATTATCCATCTGTAACTTAAATAAAATAAATGTTTCACAACAGTGATGAAGCTTTGGTACACAGATTTCGGAGAAATATTTTCAGTCCTGTAATGTCAAAATCCCGGTGCAGCCTGTGTAAAAACAAACATTCTTGTCTTTCAGACCAAGAACAGGAATATCAAAGTTTTCTTTCAGATCTACGTGAAAACAACTGATCAATTTTGTTGAAAATCAAATTAAAATTGTTCAGTGCTTTTAGTTTTCAATATCTAAATTAAAATCTTTTTGTTATCACACTGTTCACACAAAGTCATCATCTTGTACACTAACTTAATCACTTGGTACTTGATAAAGTTACTTATTCTAGACCTTACTTATTCTATACCTTACTTATTCTATACCTATTTTATCTTACCAATCACCTAACTCACTTAAACCATGTGACCATACAAACATATTTCAAAATTTTTGTGCACACCCATACAAATGTCCTTTATTCTTTCCATACTGGCTCAACAGTCATTAGAATAACAATACAAGACAATGAAAATGAACAGTTAATCAGACTTAATAAGAGGCTCTATGCATATTGTTCAACTATACATCCTGGTTAAACAAGATAAATTTAAACTAATTAATGCTTACTAAAGCATAAAATAAAATATGTATATAATGTAAAGTGTATTTGACAATTTACTGTACAATACAAAGGATCTATAGGTCTTGTACCAAGTTGAAAGAATGTTTATTGCAGGACTCACCTGGCAGCTAGTCCATCTGTGTTTTTTCAGCCGAAATAAACCTTTATATTGTAGAAAACACTTTTAAATACCCTATTATTATTCACTTTGTACCTTTCATTAATCACTTGGTACATTTATTCAACAATTACTTCATCACTTGGTACTTTGATTACATTACTTGGTACAATTAATAAATCACTTGGTACAAGTACCTCATCACTTGGTACATTTGTTTTACTCATTTAAGACTCACTCAAAAATATTTACATACAATCTTGTTACCAAGTTATAAAATATCTGGTTAAATTTAAAAAAAATTCTTAAGTAAAAGTAAACTTATGTGACTAATCTTATATTTGCAAACCAAATTCATTGTAAACTTTAAAACAAACAGGGATAAAAACAAAACATATAATTTATACTTAAGCATAACAAATCTGACGAACAAGATTATCCTTCAACCGAAAAAGAGAAACATATATTTTGCCTCGAATCAACAATAGGAACATATATTATCCCTCAACTCAACACGAGAAATATACATTATTCCTCAACTCAATCTGAGGAACATACATTATCTCTCAAATATACACAAGCAACATACATTATCTCTCAAAACAAGCAACATACATTATTCCTCAAATCTACAAGAGAAACATACATTATTCCTCAACTCAACACAAGAAATATACATTATTCCTCAACTCAACACAAGAAATATGAATTATTCCTCAACTCAACACGTGAACCATGTATTCTTCCTCAACACGAGAAATATACATTATTCCTCAACTCAAGTAACATGAGAAATAATAATCATCAGTCAATTAAAAGAAATGAAGGACAAAATTATCCCTAAAATCATTCAAATTAGAAACAAATCCCTTAAATCAGTACAAAAAACCCCCAAATTTTTCCTTCATTTGTCATGTAAAACAAAAATTACATTTCAACAAATGAAAAACAAAAGATATCCCCCAAATCTTAAATACATTAGAAAAAACAATTCTTAAATTTGATAACAAAAATCATATATATATCTTGAACTTGGAAATCACAAATCCAACAACTTTCAATTCATACAAAAACCAAATTTCAATCTGAATATGACTAACAATAAAAATTTATCTTGAATATTTACACTTGCACCAAAATACACTGGTATAAACAATAATTATAGAAAAGAAAATACAAAAAAAAATGTCATAAAAAATAAATTTTAAAATTAAAATAGTACATATTACAAATGGTAAAAAGGACATAAAATCCAGTTAAATTTATTCACATCATACTTTAAAAAGAATCTCGTAAATAAAATACCAACACTAGGTACACTAAATTGTACACTAGAGAAGTGACCTAACAGGTGTCTGAAAAGGCTTATTTTCCTATCAATCATGAATGCTAGGCAGATAGGATTATTCACATTCTTGTCCGTCAAGGAAATTCCCCAAATGAATTACCTAGAGTTTTATGCTAAAAAAATTTCTTTACCAATATCACTGAATATATTTCCTATAATGAACTTTCCTGCTTTTAATTTTGATCTATCCATTATATTTCAGGGATCTCATTATCAGAGATCATGGGTTTGAGCCCTACTCAGGTCATGACCATGTTTCTTCATATTGCAAGAATTTGTTTCCCATTCAAGCTTAAAGAAATATGTTTAAACCAAAGTCATTAACAAACAACAAAGAGTTTGGTCAGACTGCACAGACATGTAGACTGACTTGACTTTACACTGGTTGTTTAGGTAAATCATTCTCATTTTTTTTTTGCTCTAAATAAATACCAACAGAATGATATAAATAGTAAAATCTTTACATTACAATGAAGAATATAAAAAAAATCTGGTTAGTTAAGATTTATCAAATAAGCACACAAGGTTTTAGGATTCTGTTCTTCTGGGTGTTGGTTCATTACTGTACGAACAGATTCTTCCGGAAATAAGTCACACAGTGTTGTGTACAACTTAAGTCTAGGATTATTTTCATGAGGTTTTAAAGTTTCCGTGGGAAACGGTTGAATATGATCCTGTAATTGCATGGTATTGTTTGGTTGTATGCTCAAGTCTTGGTTTGCCATGCCTTGTGGAGTTAAATTTCTATTTACAAACTGTGGAGGGAAATTTGACAAATTTTGTTGAACTTGATTTTGAGCCGACCATACATTTGAATGTTCAAGAAATGGGACGTTTGCTGGTGAAAAATGGTATTGTGATTGAACTTGAAAATTTGGCTGGTGTTGAGACAGCATTGGGTTTGATTGATGAAAATGTGAACCATAACTGATAGTCAGGGTGGAAATAACCCAATTGGGGGGGGGGGAAAAAACTGGAATCTGTAAATTTAAGGGGGACTTAAAAATGGGAGTAATTTGCCGTAGACCCTCTTTGGGTGGATAACTAGGAAATTTTTTGGGACTAGATTGCCCCCAAAAATTTTGGAAAATGTCAAAGGGGCCCTTTTTCGGTTTTTTAACATTTATGCATCAAAAGGCCCCTCTTGTTTAACATGCGGGTCCATTTTGAACTTTCCACTTTCATAAATTAAAACAGCTTTTTTAATTTGAGTACCCTGACGAATTTTTCTTTTCTCATCAGGGTTAGGGGGTTTGTCCTAGGGGGGGGGATCTGCTAAAAGTCCCTTTTCCGGGGCACCTCCCATCCTTCCAATTTACGTTTTTAAACCTCGGAAAATTTCATGACCCAAAGGGTCCCCTTGGTTGTACTGAATGAGGTATTTTTTTGATGCTCATATTCCACCCCAAATAAAAACTTCTCCCCACCAGTTTTAAAGGGAATTTCCTGTCGCTGCACATGCATAAAATCCTGTAGCATTTTCTGCCTTTCTTCAGAGGTGATTTCTGTAGCAGCTAATGGCTTCCTCTGCCTTCTTGGGTCATATGATAACTGAGCATGCAGTGGAGCACGACCTTGACCTAGTCGTGGATCCTCCCCACCTTGTAATGATAACTGACGGGATAACTTTTGCTTATCATTTGTTCTTGACAGGGACTGTTTCTTAGTGAGTGCTTGCTTTGGTGGTTCTGACACAGTATATGCTAACTGAGACTTAGAGTTAGGACTACTGAGGCCATCTTTAGGTTTTGTCTTCTTTTCGGGTTTATAGATTCATTTGCTTCATCGATTTTTTTTAAACCCAAAAGAAGAAAAATGCCCAAATTTAAAAATTTTGTCCATTATTTTGGCTCCCTCAGGAAATTTCCAGGAAAAACCCAAGTTTTAAACGGGGAGATTTTCCCCTTTTGATGAACTTCTTCCCTTCTGTCTCAGTTCCATCATTCTAGGACTTGACCTTTCAGGTTGATCACCCAGTTTAGATCTTGGTGAAAAATCATGCCTATCATCTCTTTTTGGAGAACTTCCCCTCATAGAATCAGGATCACATAGAGCTCTGTCTAATTCCATTCTCATTAAGCCCTCAGATAGTTTCTGGTTGTATTCATCAACCTTATTATCTTTGCTTCTCTCAGATGTGTCCTGCACTGATTCTGACCTATACAACTCGTCAGGATTTCCTGATTGTGTACGTTGAAGTGGGGTTTTGGTGCGGGTCAATTTTTTCTTTCTGTCTGAAAAAAATAGCAGATGACATCTAGAATCTAAAATAATCCTAATAAAACAATAATTTAATAGTTTGAATTATGTGTGAAGAATTTATAACAATACCCGTCAGACAAAATCATTCAATATACATGCATGTTTTAATATTATTTCTTTGATTGTATTTTCTTTAAATCAGTATATAAGTTTTAATACTAAATAAACAATTTTTTACTTTTAGAAGCACTGTTAACTTAACCCTTTACCTCATATATACGCGAAACAACGCACTTTTGACCCCCCCTTTTTTAGGCCTGAAATAGTGAAAAAATGTCCTATTTGGGCCCCAAACACATGTTTTCGTTTGAGAAATGTTGCTAAAAAAAGTGAGCAATATCGGCGCCGCCCCCCATCCAAAAAGATACATCAGTGGGTTTGCCAGAAGAGAGATGTGCCCTTCCCCTTTTTGGGGGTTTGAAGGGGGGCAGAGTCCCACTCATCGCCAAAAAATTTTGGACTTGTGAGAGGCAAAAATGACCCCAGGTCCGATCATAAGGTAACGTTGTAACCAACGCTGAAAAGCCCTTGACTCTATCTCAATCCCTTGAGAAGTTGCAGCACTTTGAAATAAATTTTGATGGAAAAACGAGGCAAAATAGTGATTTTTTGGCAATTTTGAAAGATGTCCCCTAGTTGCCATGGTAACAGGAAATTAAAGACTGAGCTTGTCGTTACAAAAAAGGCAATGGGTCCCAGTCAACATTTGTGCCAAGTTTGATTAGTATTGAAGCATTTTTTCAATAGTTTCATAGCAGTTTGAACTTGTAACAGGAGGCTTTTCAGTGAAAACGGCCATTTTTCACAATATGCTCATGGGGGAAAGGGTTAAGGAACAAAAATTTTAAAACTAATTCATACAAAACTACATTTACAAAAAATTGAAGTAGAAGTATAATGGGAAAGAATTTACCTGCAGGTACAGAGTTTTCTCGACGCATTGCCAGCATGCGTTGTTTTGCCTGCTCCGCTAATTTCTCAGTGACAGATTTATGTGGTTGGGTTCTTCTTTCAGGATGGTAATACTTGCACTTGTTACCATATGTACATTTTTTACTACCATATGGGCAAGGTGGTGGCAAGGGTTCAGGCTCGGCAGGTTCTTTCAATAAAAAGTTGTCAAGTGTGGGTCCATTTCTGCCTAGAGGGTCGTCAGGGGGCATGAATCTGTAATAATAGAAATCAAAATTTGTCTGTGACACCAGTCAAAAACAAATATGAAAATATTTTCAATTTTATCAGGAATTATAAATCTACTTGTATATGCATCCATGCTGTAATACAACTGTTCCATTACATAAAACAAAAGAACAATTACTAGTAAGTAATGCCTACATGTAACACCAACAGAAAAGGTCAAACACAGACACAAGTTCCAACATATTTGTGTGTGTCTGTTTAATGGAACTTACAGTATGCATATTCTTTATTCAATTATGCGTCTTTCCCTTGCAAATTATGCATTATAGCCTACATATCAGATATAACATTTTTCCTCTAAATACTGAGATGAGAAACTGAGACATGTACATCAAGTTGCAGAAATTCAACTTAACTGATCAGGGAAAAAATAAAAATGGCATCTGCTCTATGTATTATTAACCTAATTGAATGAAGCTTGAATTTCAAATGGCTCTATATTAATTTTAAAAAATTTTGCATCATTAAAGGGAATCTAAAACTTTCTTTCACTTTAAAAAATTCCCAAAAATTTTAAATTACTATAAAAAAAAAGGAAAAACGAAACAGATCCAGTTTTTTCAAAAAATTACCAAAATTAAAAGCAACAAAAAAACCCGATAAATCTGGGGTTTTCCCAAAGGAAGGGAAAAATTTTTCTGAAATAAACCCCAGAAGAAAAGGGAAATTTTTTCTGGGGAAAACAAGAATGATATTCCCAAGGGGAAAGGGAAAAATATTAACTAAAATTGTCAGATATTTACCTATCATTGACGAAAGAGTACATAAGCAGTCTCTCTTCAACTACTTTCTTGAACTGATTATTCTCCCCAATCAAATCTCTGTAGTTGTCATTGGAAACAACAATACCGTCCGTATCAACAGCTAGCTTGAGAATGTACCTGTCATCATAACACACAACACGTTTCCCACCAATACGCCTCGATGGAGTGAATACCAGAATCTTCTCTTTCTCCAACTCATTCAGTATCTGCTGATCTGTTAAAGCAAATAGTAACAAGTATTAGCATATTATCTAAGAAGTATTATAAACTTAGTTACTTTTTCATACTCATTACAATACACTGATGATTCAAATATTTTACACTTTTAATCTATAATATTTAATGTGTGGTGAATAAAAGCTTGAAGCTTATGTGAACAACTATTAAGTCTACTTCCTGGAACTAACCAGTACAAGTGCCATATAAGGAAACATGATTGTGACCCTTATAATAAGATTAATCATTATCTATCAATCAATGAAATACACAAAGGCACCTTAACCACCAGTTCACCTCTGCTCGGTAAATAAATGATTGTTTTTGTTGGGATTTTTTTTACTTTAAGTCACATCAACATCTTAATGGTCTTGTGGCGACTTTCTATCTTTACTGTTGGAGGAAAACCTCAAAGTATTTAAGTTGCTGACAGATTTCAAACCCAAAGGGGTTAGGGCCAAGTGCTCTGATAGCCATAACCACTACGTCAAAGAGGCCCCAGTAAATTGATGAAAGTTATTTTTTGACATAAAATAGAATACAACTTCCTGGCAATGTAAAAATAAATGGTAGAATTTTATATATTTTTACTACCAATATTATACAAAAATATCATTTAGTGATTTTGTTTGTTTGTTTTGGGTTTTACGTCACATCGACACAGTATAGGTCATACCGCGACATTCCAGCTTTACTGGTGGAGGAAGACCTCAGGTGCCCTTCCGTGCATTATTTCAGGCACGAATGGGTACCTGAGTAGAACCACCGACGTAAAAATACATGGTGTGTTTTTATATATTTTTACTACCAATATTATACGAAAATATCATTTAGTCAAAAGCTACTAACACTGAAATTTATATATTTATTATACATGAACCTTTGATTCGGGCATCAGATCTAGATGTTTCTTTGCGCCATTGTGGTACAAATACTGTGATATTTGTGTGACCTCTTTCCTTAAACCAGTCTACTGCCAGCTGTATTCCCATACATGAAAACGTTTCTTTATTTCCATGGCTTAAAGAATAAGACACAAAAATAATGAATCATTTAAGTACATGTATATGGTAGCAGTAACAAACACTATATAGAGTATCCCTGATCATTTTGCTACTTAATAAGAGAATTCAGCTCATGATTATGAACATTTTACATTATTTTGAGTTCATTTAAGACATTCAATATTTGCCAAAATGGAACTACAGACAAAGAGAGTGTCCAAGTGTACAAGAATAACTGGCACTTACAATAACATATCTTTCATGAATCTTTTGAAACAGTAGAAATTATAAGCATTAACCCTTAACCTCCTGAATTCCTTAAACAGACTTGTCTTTTCTTATTACATTTAATGATCAACTTTTTGGATATCAAAATGTACTTGTCAGCCAACAGTAAAGATCCCAGTTAAACGGCACAGCACTTCAATGCTGTCGGATCAAGGTCTGCACTGTTTTTCAGTTTAAAATAATTTTGAATTTTTACCTAAAAATACAGTATGGTTTTGTCCAGATTGAAAAATGAATAAATCCTTCTGAGATATTTAGCAGATAAGGGTTAATATTAAATACATCAAAAATTAGCTTTGTTCATACCTCATTGCCACATTACTCCCATCCATAATAACATGCCTGAATGGACTAGAATCACTACCAGAAAAAAACTTTCTTTGGTCTTCCTGAATGTCAACCAAGTCCCCTTTAACATTGTCAGACCCATCAAAATCAGATCCAAAGGTTCCCTTGTCTTCTTGCCTTGAGGAACTATTTTTGATTAATTCAGATAACAGTTCATTTTGTCCTGCATCTTCGTCTAAATTTTTAAGAGCACATATCAAATCTGCCTCCCCATATCCAAGTTTAAAGGCAAATTCCAGTTTACTCTGGTAATCAGGAGGATTCCTTTTTATAAAATCATCATTTTCATCAGAGCAATCATCTGATGATTCGTTTTCTTCAGCACCGAAAGTGGAATTGGTTGATTTATTATGGAAATTATCAGAATTTTGGTTTTTATCAGGTTCATATTCATTTGATTGAGGTTCCTCCATAGCAAGATGATCTGTAAAGTTTTTTGCCTTTCCGACATCTTCTCTGTGTCCCTTTATACTTATACTGTTCATTCCCTGACTTGCTGTTACAACAGCACAGCATTCTTTCTCAAGGTCTTCTTTAAAATGGAGAATTCTATCTATAACACTGACATCATAGTTTACTGTTATGATGGTGAAATCTGGTCCACTTGCTGTCAGAGCTTGAATATACCTCTGAAAAAAAACCCCACATTTTTCCAGTCACTCATTACTTGAGGTGGATACAACAATTATTAAACTGATGAAATATGAAATATAAACAAGAGCTGTCCCAGATGTATCATCTTTTGCTTTTTTCGGTTCTAGATAGTACATGTATGATGCAAATTAGAAAGGTGTAGTTCTGTAAAACTGCTTGACAAATTTACCTGCATGTACTCTTGACAGTGAATAGGTACCGGTATGTCAAGTTTAGAGACTATAAAAATATGATAAAAACACCGCATGCAGTGACTGTGCTAACACTACTCAGGGCCGGCAAAATCAATTGTCCGTATTGCCCAGGTTGTCCCACAGCCTGTACGGACAAGTGAAAATTTTCAAGAATTAACTATTATATAAATATCATACGGACAAGTTAGAAAATGCTTCACATAAAAACGGACAAGTAAGTTAAAATCAGATTTTGCCGGCTCTGAGTCTAGTCTGTTTTGACAAAAATTAAAAAGTTAAGAAGGGGCATAACTAGCTTTCAGAATAATGGCTCTTGTCTAACAACTGCACCTTTTAAGCAAGTTATCAAAGTTTCATGTTGAAAGCTTTTAAAATATTTAAATAATGGGCTACATCAAAGTTTTTACACAAAAGATGGAGATGACAACAATGCCACAGCAGCTATCATAATAGCTCAGGGACTGTGTTCAGGGCGAAGTCAGGCAAAAACTTTGCCGTAAATATTTTCACTTCGCCCTATATGATCTGAAAAGCGAAATTCTAGTCGGCCTAAAATCTCTATGAAATGTCTGACATGTATATTTCTCCACTCGATAATACTGCCTGGAGGCAGATTTAATTGTGTAATCTGACGTAATTAGCACATGTGCTGAAGCGTGGTCATAGCGACATTTGGAATTCACACTTGGAAATCCACATGGCTAAAAATAGCGCATTGATTATACAGTAAATTTAAGCTGTGAAAGACCCTGATATGGTTGCAGCAGCTGATAAAAAGCAAGCTAATTGATAATTGAGTTACCTCATTGGCTCAAATGTATATTTGTGTCTTATTAACAATATCCCCTGTATGTTTTGTTTGTTTCACAATATTCCCTAAATGTTCTGTTTGATTTACTAGTTCTCTTATATGTCCTGTTTGATTTACTATTTCCCCCTATATGTCCTGTTTGATTTACTATTTCCCCTATATGTCCTGTTTGATTTACAATATCCCATATACGTTTGTTATCACCATTGCATTTAAGATAGTAATATTCATCATTAAAACTGATGTAAATTGATAGAATTTGGATAATTATTATGAATTAAAGAACTTTTCATTTTAATTAATAAATTGCATGTCAGAAACTGTTGAACCTAAAAAAAAATTAAAAAATGTTGTGTTGATGTAAATCAAATGCAACTAGTACTTCATTAAATATCATCAATACACATTTGTTTATTTTCCATGCCATATACATGTATATTTAATATGCATGTACATATAAAGGTGTACAGTCATGTATATTTTGTGAAATAAAATTAGAAACAAGATTGCATTTGAGAAAAATGCTATGCCACCGCAATAATACAACACTAAATAGTAGTGTAGGAACAGATTTTTTTGTTTCTATACAATTGAAGATTGTCATAATGCATATCTAATTCTTATTATCAGATTAGTGGTTAAATCTATTGTTAACTCAATAAAAGATCAGAGTAGGAATATATCAATGCACTTGAGTCTAGTGAATTTGGTGGTGAAGGTCATATTTCACACAGCCTAAAATTTCATGACTGCATCAAAGGACAACATGTAATACACTTTGTCAAAATCTAGGTCAGCTGATATCAAAGTTCACTTTTAATTTTGACACTAGAGGCAAAATTTGAACTACTTTGGTAGAGTACCTATACATGATATCATTTAACAAATATTAAAGCTCTAAGCCTTGTACCTTCAGACAATAAGATTTTTTTAATTTTTTACTATATGTATATATTGAAAATCAATGACCCCGGGGCGGGGGCAATTTTGACCCCAGGGCTATAATTTGAACAATCTTGCTAGAAGCTCACTTCACAATGTTTCATGCAAAATATCTAACCTCTAGCATTTGTCAATTGCCAGAAGAATTTTTTTTAAAGTTTTTACTGTAAGTTTTTACTAAATACATATAAGGAAAACAAATGACCCCCGGGGCGGGGCCGATTTTGACCCCAGGGCTTTAATTTGAACAATCTGAGTAGAGGTCTACCAGACAATGCCTTATGCAAGATATCTAAGCTATGGGCCTTTTGGGTCTTTACAAGAAGGTATTTTAAATTTTACTATATGTACATATAGTGAAAATCCATGACCCCGGGGCAGGGCTGATTTTGACCCCAGGGCTATAATTTGAACAATATTGGTAGAGGTCTACCAGACAATGCCTTATGCAAAATATCTAAGCTCTAGGCCTATGGGTCTTTACAAAAAGGTATTTTAAGTTTTTACTATATGTACATATAGTGAAAATCAATGACCCCCGGAACGGGGCCGATTTTGACCCCAGGGCTATAATTTGAACAATCTTGGTAGAGGTCTACCAGACAATGCCTTATGCAAAATATCTAAGCTCTAGGCCTTTTGGGTCTTTACAAGAAGATTTTTTAAATTTATTCTTATAATTCCTTTTGGTTGCCATGGCAACCAGATTTCTGCATGGAATTAAATTCTTTGAACAACTTTGGAAGCCCTTCACCCAAGGATCAATCCTGCCAAGTTTGGTTGAAATTGGACTAGTGGTTTTTTACAAGAAGATTTTTTAAGTTCACTATATAATCTATATAACACACACACACACACAAACAAACACACACACACACAGGTGAATCGCTATATGCCACCGCATCGCAGATGCTGCGGTGGCATAAAAAAATCCAATGATATAACTCGATTTGATGATTACTTCTGCCTAAAGCTCAAAACTTCTCCCTATTTTTCCTGAAGGGAGAAGTCACTTCTCCCTAAATTTTCAGTCCAAGGTAGTCCCTGTAGCTTGACTTTTTCTTTGAAACAGATGAGCTATAAATGTGAGATAAATAAACAACAAGATCGACTGCCGGGTGGGGCAACAATCAACTTTTTTACTTTTGTAAAAGCAAATAAATAAATGATTAAAAAATAAAGTTTTTCCTTTATGGTCCAAATTTCAAAGCTGTACATCAAAAAATAATAAAGTAGGTCACTTTGTCAAAATCTAGGTCAGCTGATATCACAGTTCAATTTTACATGTACATTTAAAACATAGCTGTATCAAAGGACAAGAAAGTAGGCACTTATTCAAAATCTAGGGCAGCTGATATCTAAGACTTTAATAAGTTCAATTTTAATGCATCTAAAACTGTACACAGAGCCCAAATTTCATAGCTTACAACAAAGGACAATAAAATAGGTCACTTTGTCAAATTAACTAGGTCACCTGATATAAAAGTTCAATTTAACATGTAAAACTGTCACATGCTCCAAATTTCAAAGTGTATATCAAAGCACAAGAAAGTAGGTCACTTCATCAAATTATCTAGGTTAACTGATATTAAAGTCCAATTTTTACATCTAAAACTGTGTACATTTTCAAAATTTCACAGTTGTAAATCAAAAGACAACAAAGTAGGTCACTTAATCAAATTGTTTTGGTCAGATTATTTCAAAGTTCAAAAGTAGATCACTTCATCAAAATTAGGTTAGCTGATATCAAAATTCAATTTTACATAAGAGACTGTGCACATGGTTCAAATTTTATATCTGCACATTAAAGGACATTAAAAGAGGTCACTTTTCCAAATTATCTAGGTCAGCTGATATCAAAGATCAAAAGTAGGTCATTTCATCAAAATCTAGGTCAGCTGATATCAAAGTTCAATTTTACATCTAAAACTGTGTGCATGCTCCAAATACCATTGCTATAGGATAAATCAGAGAATTTCATTAATTTGACCTTGATGGAATTAACCTTAACATGAAGGCTAACGTGGGCAAAAACTATCGGATGGAGCATAATTCATTGAAATATAATTTTGAAATTATGTTCTCATTTTGCTAAATTAATTCATTACAAACAAAAAATCATTCACAAAATATTGACTCCGACATGGAAAAAAGGCGGAAAATACTAAACCTGTCCTAGTAAATGTTGACATTGGAGTGGGACATGACAATCACCTGACACAGTGGGTAATTTCCGGTAAACAACTTTGGTCATGTGACCACAAAAGTCAATGTACACTGCCAAAATAGCTTGGCTGAGGTAACTTTTTTAGTGATTATTTTTCTGTCCAGCTGATTTATTTTAATTATGCTACATAGCCTACCGACCGCGGCAGTTCCAATGCCTTCAAAAAATGTATTTTGTTTCGTCTAACATTTTGTATTTTATGAGAACATTCATATTGATTAATATAAGTTGCAAGAACTTGTTTAGCAATCGAGCTTAAATAAATATGTTTAAACAAAACATTGATTATTCTTCATATCATTTTATAACCAACATTTTTCTTTTAAGAATTGCATCAATGTACATTTCCCTCCATCAAATCCAACAACTTTAAGATGCAATTTAGAAACAATGCATATCCTTGGTTGGCATGTTTAGATGTGACATCATATCTGTCAATCAACTTTTGTACACGACATTCATGTTAATCTGTTTATTTACTTCACATGCAGGATAAACAAGTAAATCAGGACAGATTGTTGTAGAAAAAATAACCTTTTATCTAAGCAGAAATACTTTCAATAAATAATTACTTTACCTTTGCTTTATCCGCATTTTTCTGTGCATTTGCTGATTGCGACAAAACTGAACAATTACAAAATCCGGTGACCTCATTTCCATTTGATTTCTCATTTCCAAAGATAACAAGTTGTACGTCAAACAGTCGTTCTATTTTTTCTTTTTGCTTATAAATGACTGATATGTTGGCTGTATCAATGCTAAATGTATCATTTTCCATTGTATTTAGGAAAATACGATTTTACTACTTGCAAATCCATTTGTTTTCAGACTTTTGCGTTTGTTTACGAGCTACTCGACGTCCATTTTTAATAAACGGTGTCATGTTAATTTTACGTTTCGTAAGAATAACATATTTCCTATTTTTTTGTAGATACCGTATACAATGTGGCCATACCACGTGACTTTTCGGGTACGGAACACGCCGATTTTTCACCCGATTCAGGTATGTTTTTTATTCATAACTTATTTATTGCTCAACCGATTTTAATCAGATAAGGCGCAGAGTACCCGTAATTATATCAGCTTTCCACGGTATATCAACATTCTGAAAACCCCTGAATGGTTTTTGAGAACATTCGAGTACAGTTTTCTTCTCATAGCCGGGGCCGAGGGGAACGGTACACACTCATTTGTCATAACAAGCGATTTCTTGCAAGTCATATGTTTTTTGTCACTATTTTATAGAAAAATACATGTTAAATCGGATATATTTACTATGTCCAATGTATCGAGTGAATGCAGTGATGTTTTAGCATATTTTCATAAAGTTATGTTGAAATGGTACGGAACACACTGTTATTTAAAAAGATACGGTACACACACAATTTCTGTCTTTGAAATAATTCTAAAGTAAAGTATATGAAAATTTAATTTGCATTATAATGTGAGTGATTTGTTTTCATAGTTATACATTTTATTAATTTAAACGAGAACCCTGGGGTCTGTTTTGCAATGTATCATTATGCTTACAGTTTGATGTAAACAGGATTACTAAAAAAATAAAGAACATTTTAAGAGTACGTAGCGCAAAATTCGATTTTAAATGTTAAAAAATTAATATTTGGCTATAAAATGTTAATATTTTAGGGAGGGATACGGAATACATTCAAAATTGTGTTTGTTTTGTTTTTTATTTGAAATAATTATGTTGTTTTTTTTCGGATTATAAAACAAATTATTAAATTTATGGACATATGTTATGTGCGATTATTCTTCCATTTAATTTTTTGTTCGAATATATAAATGACTGTCTAAACCGAGTATGAATATAAAAAAAACAAACAAGCAGTTAAATGTTGATCGGATCTGGAGAATTTGGAGAAAAAACGCTGGTTTTGATGAAAGTGGATTTTTTAAATCACGGAAAGTTTAAAGTATTTTTCTGCAACATGATATTTGGTATGATTCATCTGCCAGGGTCCCAAACTAACTGCATGTATTTAATTATCGAATTATCCACATATGGACAAAGGTATTCCGCGGTTTTACGTGCAATCAAAATAAAAAGCCGGATAATTTGAAGAACCCATATGGGAACATGGTATGTTATAATTATAACGTAACGTAGTTTACACAAGGTAACCTTGTTACATATGCATGTAAGACATTTTGGTGAAATTATGCCTATCTTGGACTTTCATTTAAAGATGCTTTAAAACATGATTTCATGGATATGTGTGCTTGCGTGTTTGTGTTAAAAATAAAATGATTAAACAATGTCTTACGAGGATAGTGCTCTCCAAGTACACTTTTGATATTTTTAACAATACCCATTTTGTAAATTAAATGCTATGGAGGCTGCGTTCTGTTTTATATACTACATGAAGTAGGTACGAGACCACCTATGACTTTGATGTTTCGATTTTTTATGTTAGAAAGTTTTCTAACTACCGTAAAGAACGTCGGTCGTTCTACTCAGGTGCCCGTTCGTACCTTTATGTATACCTAAAGGGGCACTTGTAAAACTGGAAAGTTGCCACATGATCATGTCAGTTTTGGTGAGCCGTGAAACCAAACCAAAAATGACCTATATTACCTGAATTAAAAGTTATTCTTAAAGCTTTCTGCCTTTAAACATAAAAAATTTAAGCCATGGCAACTACATTTTTATTTGTTTGGGTCGTCAGACCAAACAAATAATTGTAGCGAAATTTCAGACTCTGATATGCTTATTTGCAACATCAGAAAGTAGTCCGAACTCCTGGAAGCGGTTACTTACCTTTATAAGTACTCTAACGCCGAAAAAATAAGGGGAGATCACTGCGTAAAGATAGTCAAATGACAGGCGCATTAATGTTCAAGCCTTCTCAGGGGAAGAAAAGTACTTCCCGGTTGGTCAAAGGTTTCAAATATTGTGTCATTCTTTACAGATATACATGCAATATTAAGCTCCATGATTATTTAATCAGTGTTAAACGAAATAAATAAGGGGTTACAAACCCTAATTTAGAATGATATGGTTTCTTCAGGCTATTATCGTGTAACTTCCCCGTGGTCGAGGGGATAATTACACGGTCGTTTAGAAAGAGAGAGAGAGAGATGTCCTGAGCTCAAACCCCATTTAAGGCAACTCATGTTTTTATTTATTTTTGTTTTTTTGTTGTTTTTTTTTCAAGCCAAATAAACATTGAATTGAATATCAGTGTTGCAATAAGCCTTATAGCCAATTTACTACAGTTATAACACTGGAAACAGCATTGGTGGCACTATACAAAAACAAATTGGTTTGTAATCTCATAACCTTCACCTTTCTGACATTCTGAGACCCAAACAAATTCAGCGCCTTCTGTGTTTTGATTTAATTAAACATGACCATGATACTGCAAAACTGTACCTAGTGACTTACTTATTATAAACAAAATATAAATATATATAATGTTATCAAGTAATGATATTTTTCAGCGATTTAGGTCATGACATTGTTTTATTTTTTCCGGAGGAAGCAAAAAGACATATCTTACACTTCACTAAAACTAAAAGAAATACAAAAAAACAACAACAATAAACAACAATAAACACAGCATTATAACAACATTTCTTTCTATAGAACAATCATTTGAAACGCAACTACATGATTCTTTGAAGATCGAAGTGTTTAACATACCTTTGGTGATTTTAAATACTAGTAGGACAATTACTCCTGAAATACAATGCTCTGTAACACCGCACTTTGGGGTCAAACGCACTTTGGGGTCCGACCCCAAAGTGCGTTAAACTTCGCACCGCACTTTGGGGTCAAACGCACTTTGGGATCAAAATCGAGAAATTGACCCCAAAGTGCGTTAATATGCTACATATCAACGCACTTTGGGTTCAAGAGGTCTAAAGGTGTCATCTGAGTTCTGCTTAAATACTGAGTACTGACTTATTTTCTATCTGCGACATTGGAATATTTGAGTTGGAGTTCAAGATGGCGGTCAATACTTTATGATGCTTAAGTGATAAAAGTTTCATTAATGTTACCACTTGAAATATCTAAAAATTGTGTTCATATAACAAAATTACGGTGGCATAAAAGTGACAGTTGCATTTTTTTGTTTTTAGTTTTGTATACATATTTTATTTTAGTTTTGCATACATATTTTTTTTCAGTTTTGCATTCATATTTTATTTTTGTTTTTCGTACATATGTTATTTTTGTTTTTCATACATATTTTAGCCAATCAAAACAGCCTTTAAATCTCAGCCCATAGTTGAGTATAAAACTAGCAGAGTGGTTAGGTCACATTTCGGCCCATTTTTGGAATCGGCCCAGTCGTTTTCGGCCGGGCAAGTCTGGTTTCGGCAGACCCTTTTCGGCCCATTTTTTATATTATATGTATTTTATTCAATTATTGTTTTTTATTATTATATACTGTTATATTAGTGTCTATTTGGAAAGGGCTGTTGATTGGTGATCAGTTATTATTCCATGAATATGCACCACTCAACCCCACCCCCTGAGAATTGAGAATTATGAAACTTAGGTCAATTCCTTAGCACATCCAGATAATGTACAGAACTTTATGCCAGGTGTGCCGGCTCAAGGTCGGGGTCACAGCTACAGGTCAAAGGATAAAGACTTGGGTTTCATGTCCGAAACCCCATGAAGGATTTTAAGGCACCTTGTGACAAATGTTAACCACAACGAGACCATATGCAGAACCTTTCTTTGGGTTACCGCGGATACTAAAAAATGAAAATGTTGGTATTTGCAAATGTATTTGCAAATGGCATTTGCAAATGGGGTACTGTAATTTAAAGATGGCGAAGTGTTTGAAAATGGTGTTTAACAAATGGTGTAATTATCCAAACCTCTACTTTGCAAATGGCGTTATGTAAAAATATGTACGAAAAAACAAAAATAAAATATGTACAAAAAAACTAAAATAAAATATGTATACAAACTAAAATATAATATGTATGCAAAACTAAAAAAAAGTATGTATTAAAAACTACATGTAAAAAAATATCTACGACAAACAAACAAAAATATGTACAAAAAACAAAAAAAGTATAAAAAAATACAAATGTCACTTTTATGCCACCGTTCAAAATACTCTAGTACAGAAATTGTGTATTCCTAGAATTAAAAGATGCTGCGAAAAGTATCCCGTTCTGTCGGTCATTTACTTGATAACAACTTGATGGTGCCATATTGAGCCCCATTTTAAATATGTTGGAAATGAAAAAATGCAGTTAATGTCTTTTTCCAAAGAACTATAAATATAAATGTTCTGGTGAAATTTTTTTTCGATCGGACTATAAATAGTGATTTTTACAAAAACATTATTAAGCTTATCAACAAACTTAAGGGTTTTTGTAAGCTCCGTAACAACCGTTCGCCAGAGGCTTTTTTATGTGAAATCTTACATACTTCTTAAGAAAGAGCAACTATGAATTTTATAATGTTAAAATAATGGTATCTGAGAAATGTAAGATGCTTGTTTTCTGAATAAAGTAGCGATAACTGTGATATTATTCGTCATAAAAGAAACGAAAACTGTAGTATTTGACTTCCATATAAAATACTAATTCACTATCATTGCCAAAAAGCAACAGATGAAAAAGATGGTTCAGGTAAATGGCCAATGTGTATTTTTTGGATAATATAGAAGAACATCAAAATAAAAAAAGCTTTTAAGAAAAACAAGTTAAAGCATAATGTGCCTTTAAAACGTTATTTTTAACCCTCGGGGGGATCAATACCCCACACTCCCCTCTATACCCCCAAAGAGAATTTTACATTATTCTGAAGCTCCGCTCTTAATGTGCGACTACTTAGATAGTTGATATTTTTAGTACTGCCTGTACGGACTACTACTTAAAGCCACAT